ACATTTTCAATATTATAAGTTGAAAAATAAGGGTAGGTAAGGAAAAATCGATCACTAGTGAACTTTACGAAAATTCGAAACACTTTTCAGAATTTGAACCACTGGGTTCAATCAATCGATACGCCGAAAGAAAAACGTGCTTGCACAAGCGTGTACCTTTAACATGTTATTTTTACTCACACACAATATTCATTTACTTTTCATAAAATCACAATGCGTAGTGCAAACAACACAACAGTTTTTATACGTAAATCTCCAATAAATTGTTGAGTTTTTTCCAATCTAATAAGTAATGGAATAGTAATCGAACTTCCGATGTTACGTTTTTAAAATAATTACAATTTCACAAAGCTTCTTTTCTACGACAAGTGGATTAATCTAATCGTTTTCTGGGTAGCCTTGAAGTTTTAACTTAAGCTTTCTCAAATGTCTTAATTTCATTATTCTAAAGGACGTTTTTGTCTTTTTTTTTTTTATAGCGGAAAAACGCCATGTTTGCAGGTTATATTACGTGCGTAAATTTAATTTACATTCGAACTCGCACATTTTTTTTTTTTTTTTTTACAAAAATACTACACAATACATACAATAAAAAATTGCCTATAAATTATCCCTTGAAAATAATGACTTCCATCCTACTGTTAATGTTATTATTTATAATATATTTAAATATATTAACATTGTTTTGAATTTAGTGATATATAACATTTTTTTATACCGCTTATATTTTGATCTGTGGTATTAAATTTTATACAACATATTGTACGCTCGAAAGTCTTGTCATATTTTTTCAACCGACATTTATAAAAAATGAAACAAAAATGTTCTATCAAAGGATTTCTGTTATAAGATTCTTGGAGAAAATCCAAATTAAAGAATAATATAAAATACGAGTATAGGAATGGCTTAAAAATATCAGCGTAGAAAATAAGGATAGGGTGCACGGACAATGCACATCACCATAGAAACATTTCCATGAAACAAATATAATATTATATAAAAAAAAAATAAGTAACATCTGATTTTGAGATCTAAAATTATTATTAAAGCACATATGATTAGAGTAAGAACAGCAAAAGTTCATGAGAGGGTTATAGTGTTTTACATAAATAATATGATAATACATAAATTTTTGTTCAATACAATATATTATAATTTTTTCTAATCTAACCTTTGTCTATTTTTTACGGAAATTATGCTCCCCGATACACATTGGCTGAACTATAATCGCAGCATTTTAACTAAGTCGGCGAAAAAAATGGCTGTCTTATATCGGTTTGTATTGCACTAGTGTACAAAAATCTATATCATACGCATATAATAACCAGCTGAAAACAAGGCTTATGCTATAGTATGCAATTTGTGTTATTGCTATTGAATATTTAATTATTTGATTGCATCGGTGAAAATTGTTGATTAGAGAATAATATAACATTGTGGTCTAGTACTAAGAAGCGTCTAGTATGCAACTGAAATGGTCTTTCATGTAAAATAATGTATATGGAATATTATAATAAATTTATAATTATTTAAATGTAACTCTCTGCACCATCACAAGCTACGCTTTCAGGAGTAGATAAAAATTAAAATAAAAAAAAAATAAATAAATAAAAATGATCTAACTAAAATATTATAACTCAAAAAATAAATCAAGGAAATATTTAAAAGGTCGATTTTAACTGATATTGTATTTTATGGTTATATCTGTAAACTCGGTTCATTTTCTCTAAAATGTACAAACTCGACATTTGTTTTGTTATATACAGCGAAAAGTTTAATTAACGTTTAAAAGTAAATAATAGTGCCATTTGTAACATTTACGATTGAAAATAAAAAATAAAGTTTTTCTCATTCGATTGCAATTAATTAAAAGTTACTTTGATAATTGTTTATACATTTCACTCGGAACAAAAACAATATATAATGACAACATTTGAGGCTTTTAAAAAACCATCACCTCTTGAGGTCCCTGTGTAAGCATTGATTTTTGTATAGTTGTCTAGTGCACTATTTTCGTCAAAACCGGTGTACCTAGAACACGATTCCGAGGTTTAGATTAATCCCTTAGCGGCTTAATTGTCTAAGGGCAATTATTATACAACCATTATAGGACATCTGTGATCCAAAAATCATTTACGAGGGCAATAAATATCCTAGGAATATTGTACGCCCAAGGGATTTGAATTTCTGTGGGCGTAATTTGTCTGTTACACCGCCGACACTGACGATACGTTTATAGCCTACCGAAAAATTTTCAGTTTGCAGTTTATTTGCCAAGAACCAAACGCGGACATTGTCTAATCGTCTCTGAACTTTTAAATTAAATATATACTCGTATACGGGTATTATTGGTATACTGCAAAAAACTGAATAAAACTTTTAGAATTTAAATCGATACATTCTTTGTATGGTGTAACAAAAAATTTCAATTATATTAAGCCAATAGTACTTCCTTAAATATCGAATTTTATTTGAAAAACAGTAGATGTATAGCAGACGTAGAAATTAATCTGGAAATGAAGAAATATTTCACCGTTTCCGCAAATTGTATTGTTACTTTAAAGTTAAGAATTTCTCAATTAAATATGCACTGCCTACTTTAGTATGTGTTATAGCCTTTTAATTATTCTCTTATTGACACTTGTGGCTTCTGAATCTGGGAACAAAACACAACACCAACAGACATTTGCGTGACGTATCACGTAACGTGCCTCGGCTAAAGAGTGTTATAAGAGCGGACCGGGATAACCGTGTGATCGCCTTCTGTTTTTCGTCATCAAGACAGTAAGATTTTTATAATGATGCTGATTAATGCTTAAGTAATTTTTTAAGAAAATTACTTTAAAATTTCCAACTAAAGATTAGTAATGGTGAAAAAATATTTGCATTATAGAAAAAAAGTCTTTGTATATTAAATAACAACGTATAAACCATATGGAATAGTCTTAATTTATATTTAGTCTAATTAAAGTAATTAAATATATTAAAGTATTATTATATATGTATACAATTATTATTATTTTGATTTTAATTTCAAAATATTTTTTTAATTAAATATCTTTAACACAATATTATTATATGATTATAATTTATTTACAAATAATCCTAAAAAAAGCTAAAAAGTTTGAAAAAACAAGTAGGGGTTCTACGATAAATGTGGACATCAAAAAGGGTTCCAAGGATAAAAAAGTTTAAGAAACGACATTTAGTATGCATACATTTCACCCTCGATCCTTGGTACTACTAGACGCAAGTTGGTATAGCAAGTTCTCGATTAACTCGCACGCATCTTAACACGGTGGGAGACAATGATCATATCCTTAACATTGTTTCGTCTTAATGTCGATTAAATAAAACCATAGAATAGATGTTGATAATTCGAGCGAAACGTTTTTGTTCTATTTGTCCAATGGTCGACATAAACAGATCGGTAAGCCTCGTCGTGGAATTTCTGACGAGACGCAATCATTATTGTTATGTAACGTTGAATAGATATGTTTTAAATAAATTTTATAGTTTTATCGAAAAAAAAAAACTATGATATTTTTCAAACAGAAAATGAAGGCCATGCGTGGCTGAGTGAGTCCTTGATCCTTTGTACATCAATTCAGATGGCACTGGGTGTATCATAATAGCATTATATTGCATTTGGAACACTTTGCTTTGGTATACATTTTAATACCAGCGGTGTTTGCAGTATTACTTTGTTTGTTCATATCATAAGGTTTAGTATAAAAAAATAACACAACGGTTCACACAGACACATTTAATAATATAGAACATACATAATACATATGTATGTATTTATTTGAAGAAAAAAAACGTGTTCGACAAATTTAGTATAATAGTGTATTCGCAAGTAGTATATAATATCATGCGAATCATAAAAATGTTTTACAAGACTGTATGTTAAATATAATAAATTTAAACGATATCAATACAATCGTTTTACGTATAGTTATGATTTTAGATTTTATTTTTTTAATCTTATGCCAATTTCTTAAAACACACAAACTGAATATAATATTATGTATGAGTATAGTAATAATTATAATAATAATAATAATAATAATAATAATATATGTATATATGTATTAGTTTTCGGCTGCATGCATTTTATGCATTTTGGACCGAAGTTTTTATCAGCATAATAAATTCGACGTCTCAATCATTTTACATTTCACGACTCACGGTGTTATAGTTATCACGTGTTTAGGATGCCCCTACTACCTAGCCAATTAAGTTTCGTTTATTTTCAGTCGGAAATCGCTTTAAATAACTGACGATCAACTTAACATCGATAATACCTATGAAAACACGTGGTATTTTTTTGTCCAAATCATTAATATTGCGGTAAAAACTATAATGTGCTGTCTCTTTTGAACTGTGTCAGTTCCGTATTACGAAAACAGTCCCGTTCGGAATCTAATTCTTTTTTTTTTTTTTAACTATCATATGATTATATTCTGATTTATCTGAAGGTTGAGGTGTGTTTTTTGTCATAATGCCAGTAGGTAATAGCGGTTCTACAGAGAACAATGAATTTACTGATTGCGTTGCAGATAATCCAGTTATAAATTAATGGAACGATTACTGATTTCAAGAACAAGATTCAACTAATTCATGGGGCAGGTGATTCACATTCCGAACAAAAAGTATACGAGTTATGTTTTATTATTTTAACATGTTTTCTCATAATGTCCATCGAATAATGAGTTATTGGAGGACAATAGTCAATTACGAATTAATTAAACGAAAAAAATATTCAGATAGGTATCGGAGCGTAAACACGTGATGTTTAAAAAGAGGAAAATGAAAAGTTGGTCTTTTGAACAGTGCCAAAGTAACCCTCGCTTGTTTTCACGTTACTCGTAAAATTATGTTTTTAAGTTATTATTATGATAAATAATTGTTCGTGATTTTTACATAGATACTATTATTTAATGTGTATACATAAGTATACCGTAAAACTTAATGACTATTAATTAAAACATTTTAGCATTAAAATCGTGTTGTATAATATTGTAAGCGTTTATGCCAAATGTCATACTACATAGTATTCTATAATATAGAGTTTGGTATACAATAAAACAAAAACGTATCTTTGGTATTCCTAGCCTAGTTGTTTCCGAACAATTAGAAATGCGTAATTCGCTAATAAGTTTAATAAATATTTTACAGGATAATAATATAGTATTATAATATACTATGTAACGTACAATCACGTAGTAAGTAATAACAATAAACAAACTAATAAAATAACTCGTTTAGTTTATGTAAGCCAAATATGTCGAAAAACAATATAAAATAAAAAATTAAAAAAATCAACAAAACAAATACGACATAATGTAGTAGTAGTAATAGCAGTTGTAGTAGTAAACTGTAATAATATAAACACAAAATAATCTTAATACTACCTACCACGTTTACGTATACATGGGACTAAACTATGTATTACTATCATTTTTTTATTTTATTTTATTTTTTACTATCATTATAGACTAGAAATGTGTATTATAACCGTGACGATAGTGTTAAAACTTACATAATATTTACAATAAATTATAATAAAATAACATAAAGCAGCTGCATGGTGAAGGGGAGCTACGCGTTACAACCAGAACATCAGTACGTCGATATCCGTATAATGAATAATGATCTAAGGACGTTTGCGCCGGTGTTACAGTAATAATAATAAAAACGGTTGATATTTTTCTTTTTGAAATTCAAAACGTCGTCCACGGCAATTCATAATAAAGTTTTGTACCGTTTTAAATGGGTGGAAGATAAAAACCACTAGATAATATTGAAATCGACTGAAAATTAGAGAAAATAATATGCACGCGAAAAACACGCCGCGCGGTTGTGTTTATTTTACGTTGTTATATAGAGAGACGAGCTTGAGAATAAGCAGCAAGGTACGATGACGTATGAATATGGGTATGAACATTTTAAAAACAACCTCCAGACGAGGAAACACAATTGTAAAACACGGTATACGTACACGTTGTCACCAAAAGACGAACGCCGAGTCAAACCGCACGTAAAGTTCTCGCGGTGATAGTAATCAATTGATTTATGAACGGCAACTAGATCGGATCGTGCGTGATCGTGATTTGTCGATTATCCGCGTGATGACTAATGCGAACCATGGAATCGCGTTCACAGAACGGTGGTGAATTCGTTTCCGTGCGATGTGATCTGAATTGTTTATCAAGCGTTCGCGAGCCCTTATGGAGCGATGTTGTTCAGCGATTTCACTCATACACGTCCCAGAGAAATCCCAACTCGAAGGGCATAACACATGCATGCGGATAGACGGAAACCCAACGGGTTCGGTTCCCGGTTAAAGCTCCTCAAAAATATAAATCGGTTTTACCGAAAAAAGAAATGAAAACAAACCTTTACGTGCATCGTAACAATAAACCGGATGGTAAACGATAGTACTATACTTGGAACGCGATTTTATAACCGTATCGGAAAGCGATCGATCTAAATCCGAACACACGTGTCCTGCGGTACGGCGGGATGGTCGTCCGTACCCGTCGAGTTTGTCATGTCGCAGGTTAGGTCGCGCTCGATATTCGATATTCAGAAAGACGTCGACGAGTTGAAGTTACATTGTTCGATTCCGGATATTACACGTCGTTTCCTACGTTGTATCCGCGGGCCCGGGGTGTCACGTGTCCAAATCCTGTTGGCCACCAACGCGTTGAAGAGGAGGAACGACAAGAATCAAAAAAAAAAAAATAAATAAATCAAAAAATCGATCATCTGAGAAACTCGTGCGGCCAGAAACGATGGTCTTCGTACAGCTAGGGATCGGGTGGTGGAAGGCGGCCGGATGGTTTCCGGGGGCAAGAGGGGGAATGCGGTGGCGGCTGGTGCAGAAAGTGTGGTTTGATAGCGTCTCGTTCGGGCGGTATACTTCAGGGGTCCTCGGGGTGAAAAGGGTAACGGGGTGACGACGGGACGGGAGAGGGGACGACTAGGGTTTGACTGTGGGTGTGGAGGGCGTTCACTGCAAAGTGAATGCGGCCACGGTGGCCGCGCCGAATACGATCGCGGACCGTACGAATGCGGACGCGTGCTGAGACCTACCGCCGCGGTTGGCGTCGCCGTGCACGTCGCCGTCATCTTTGCCGTCACGACGGCCGCTATCGTCGTCGGCCACTGATGAGGCCGATGACACAGCTGCAAAAGCGTCGCCGGTTGCGGTCTGCTGGTCACCGCGGTACTTGTACGACACCGACTTGTGCGCGCCGTAAAAGCGGTCCGCCTTCCAGCGGCCGTGGCCGGTCCCTTCGCCGGGCACGCGCAGCCTGCACTCCACGTCGACAGCGTTGCGTCGGCGCTGCTTGCCACCGTGCAGCTCTTCCGCGTCCCTGAGCGACACCACCTTGTTCGCGCGCACCGCGTACTTCCTGTACACCTCCTCACCCCTGTTCGCTCTGAACCGGTTTCTGTACGTCACCTTTGGCCTGACCGTGGTTGTGGTCGTCGTGGTCGTGCTGCTGCTGTCGCCGTCGTTGCTCTCGTCGTCATCACCGTCGTCCTCCATCACCACCACGGTCACGTTATCCTGCATCCTGTTTGAACACACAAACAAACGTGCACACCGATTAGTTGTTGCCCATTTCAATGACTACAGTATCCGATGACCGAGAACGTCAACTCGATCTTAACTCTATTTTACGCGGCTTTGGTCTTTTGTTTTTATTTTTAATTTTCTATTTCACTCTAATCCGGCGTTCACTAGACTTAGGTCCTAATGGTCCGTGCAGCAGGGGCAACAAATTATCCGTGCTCGTACGCTCGTGATTGCGGACGTCGAATAGCAAACAAGACCGACCGTACGTATTACGGTAACGAACTTTTTTTTTTCACTTTTGTCGAAAAACCCACACACGATGCGCATCGTTGTACGAGTTGTTCGGACGGTTACGAGCTCTGTACGTAAATAGCACGCCCAGTTCGGCAAAACTTTACTACACCCAAACTGTACGCCGGCATTTTATATCCTCACGACAGCTGAGAACAACATTTCCCTAATGTATTACTAATGAGTTAATGGACGAAAAGCTTGCATCTCTCACGACCAAAAAAAAAAAAAAAACCAAATAAAAATTTATTAAAATAAATAAATAAATAAGCAAATAAATACTTGCATAGAATTTAACGTTCATACAAATCCTTTAATTAACAGTCTCACCTACAGACATATTCCACATAACTCTCACAAACTTTCAAAAAGGATATGAAATTTCTTTTTTTTTCTATAAAATAATCTCCCATGGATTATGCTACCGAAGGGAACGATGGTCGTCTTACTGTTTTTTAATTTTGCTTAAAATCAAACGTTCGTTTACAGAATATTAATTGTAAATATACTGTTAATACAATAAAAATAATTATAATTATAATTGTGTACAGAAAATTGTATTATGAGACATAGACATCAAAGTTTAGGTAGGCAATGCTGTAAAGATATTTTATAGTTAGCCATATATCTGTCAATTTTAATATAAATTATTGCGAAGAGAAGGGTCGGATATTTTTTTAAATAGCTACGGCATCACGAATAATAATATTTGCTAGAATTTTTTATTGCATATAATAATTCCAACAGCAGCTGTATAACACATGTCATAACGTACACCCCATGTACCAGGTAAAAAGTAATTTATTTATATATTGGCTATCAAATGTAAACCGAAAACACCTACTCTACATTTATTAAACTCGGTAACTTTTATCTGAACATTTTTACTGTTGAAACGTGCAAATAATATTAACTTAGCTGGAACAAATATAGTATATTTTTTTTTATATATTGACCAACAATTTTTCATCATAATATGGGACCAAAACAATTTGTGAGCGCGTGAGGATAATTCTTTGACTATAGAGATGAGATGAATCTTTTTATCTCTCTCTTTTTTTTAACACAAACACACACACAACATTAATCCACTTCTCATGCGTTACGGATACAGTATCCATGGCTTATAAAATGCCTAGCTGTAACTCCTTAAAAGTATTTTATCCCAGCTTATTCAAAATTACTCGTATCCGTATGATAATCACCCATTTAACAACTTAGGTATTACACGGACAGTTGAGTGGTGTTAAATATTTAAAAAAGAAATACAATTGAAAACATTTATTTGAAGTACAATAAGAAGTGTTATACTATATAATTTTATTTATGACAGTTATTTCAGTCGTCTTAAATCGAAAACACTAAAATTACGTATGATTGTACTCCAGTAAATCATTTATTTTATCTAACTTTAACATTTTGTTTGTTGAAAAAAATATGTCAAAAGTCAAGTAGAAACTCGGTATTATTTTTATTTTCAAAATATTTTGTAAGAATAATTCAAATTCAATAGAAAGCTTGATATAAATCTGTGAAACAATTAAACGATATATTTCGGAAGACTCCACGTTTCATGCTTTACAAAAAATTTGCTAAGAAAAGTACAACAAAGTTTTAAACTAAATTGTCTAATAATTTTCATATTTAATTTCGTAATATTTTTAACCAGTGGCGTCATTTCAATTTTTTTTTTTAATACGCATGGCGTATAGAACATGCCACTAGAATTTTCTACACAAAAAAAATAAAATAATAATATTTTTACCATTTATTAATGAAAATATAATAATAATGGTATTTACTAAATCATTTAACTAAGAAAAGCAGTAAAACCAGAGGTGATAATAAATATTGTAATAAAGCGTTTATTAGGTACAGTTACAGTTATATAGTTTTATTTTTTGTTAATATTTAATAGGATACCGACGCATCTTCAAACTTATTTACAGATAAAATATCAACACATAAAATATTATTTTGGTAATGTTTTAATATTTTCAATTATCAATAATAGATTATCATTATGAAATATGAATTACTGTTAATGGTTAATAAAAGTTGATTGATAATAAAATTATCATAATTATACACAAGTTGCATGATAACGATTTACGAATAATCGCGATAAGGAATATTTTGATAATTTTGTAACGTAATGTCTCATGTTTTTGTTTTTAAATAAGAAGAAAAACAAAATATTAATTAAAAAATAAAATATATTGACCGCAAAACACTATCAATAATTATTCAGGCCAATCAATTTATAAAATGGACCAAATTAGGTACTATAATAATAGATATAATATTCGATATAATATGGATATAATATTTTAATATAACCTGCGCGGTCCAAATGACGCCACTTTTTTTAACTCTATGATAATATTTCCATTAATTTATACAACATATTTCGAAACTTTAGACTTGCTAATTTATGACTATTATCAGTAACAAAGATATTAACAAAAAACACCAAATGTATCTGAATATACTACACGCTCTGAATCGATTTTAAATGTTTGTCGATGATATGGTTTACATCAAAGACATAAAAAATAATTTTACATTGTAGTGAGGAATGCTTGAATTATTTAACTAAAAATATCAAATAAATTAGCTTAAGATAATAATTACAATTTATTTATTATTTAATAATTTTTAACCAAGTTTTATACGCCGATTTTAAAAACGGAGAGTAAACAATTAAAACATTTTAATCAAAATGAATTATTAATTAAATCATTATTTATAATAATTTATTCTATTTGTCTTGTTTTAATAATCGAAAAATTGATCCTTTAAACAGCTTTATTTCTTTTTATCATAATACTATGTAATTAAAAATTGACTTTTGTTTAGGTATAGACATTTTTGTATATGAATATTTTTTTAAGCCAACGGTTTAGTATTTGAACATTTTTACTTAGAAACTTTTTCCATGGTCATTCTTAACACGGGATATTTCTACCTAGACTTGTAATACACATGTGCACACAAGACCTTCTTGTAATATCGACAAATTAACGAAGGCACGAGACAGATAATGAAGTGAAATTTAAAATTACGTACGTGGGATAAATATAACATCAACTTAACTAAGTTTTTACGTATACTTTAATACTTTATAGTGTGTTTATGATATACAATCGTTTACGATGCGTTCAAAAACTTCTAGTGTACATAGAGTGATATATATATATATATATATATATATATATGACTTGAATGTGAAAAAAGGTTTGGTCATCGTCATTTAGCGCAACAGTAAATAAGCAGATGCTGCTGTTAAAACGTTGTGCTGTCGATCGTGACTGGCTAAACATAGTCAACTTAATTTTCCCTCTAATTTAAAACAAATGTGTGTTGTACCGTGTGTGTGTCGAGTAAAAAAAAAAAAACATCGTGTTTTTTTTCGCGAACAAACCTTGCGATCACCCAACAGTCGGTATCAGATCAGCGGTGCAACATTCGTTCTAGGGTTGTTTTTAATTTTATTTTCAAAACGAATTCGCTGCTTTTTTTCTCTTTGAAATAACCATTTTTGAAATGTAACGTTCGGTTTATTTTTCCAGATAAATTTCCTGCGCATCGCAACAAAACGGTTTGTTACCGAAAGTCGTGTTTGTGTTTTGCTTAAACGCGAAGCCCGACCGAACGAGCAACGGTCCTAAATCGTTCTCGCATCACATTGTAATAGATGATGAAAAAAGAACGTGTTTCGAACTTTTAGCTTAACGGGTACCTTATTACGAGAACAATATATATATATATATATACGTGGGCAGTTTCGATAAGTCTTGTGCACCTCAAACGTAACTTAGCAAAACCGTACGTCAAACCACCCGCGTACAAGAGTAGTGCTTTACGGTATTGTGTTGCACCATTCGATGTTTGTAATTAAACAAGATTGGTTTTACGTCGGTAATTTATATTCGTCGCCCGAGTGTATTCTTCTTTGTCGACAGCGATAATAATCCGGGTAAAATGACAACAATGACTGGCCAATATCTAAACCACCCAGGCACGCTCGATTCGTTATATATACGTATCAACCCATAGGTAAGGCAGGGTGTTTATATTATGTATTCATTGGGCTGAATATTAGACGTGTGCGATCTATATGTATTGTTTCGCAATATGGTGTTTAGTTAATATCATTATTTCCTACGCCGAAGCAATATTACTATGTTATACCACACACATACACACGTACACATATACACACGCACACATAAATATGAAATGTCTATATATATTAATATTGGATTATTCGTGAATTTCACTGTTACCTGTGTCATTGTTGATTATAGTACTATCGCGCCACGCATGTTGCAATAAATTACATTTAAATCGATTGTGTTGTAAAATTAATTATATTGTTTGACACGGAGTAAAACAATATACAACGCCTGTTGTACCTGTTTTATAATTATTGACGCGCTCGTACGTGGACGGATGCTGGAAAACAATAATATTTAGACATGTACGGCCGTTGGAAATGCGCTCGTTCGTTTCTTAACCCAGTCGTCATTCGGACTGTAATGTTATTATTGTTGTTGTTGCGATAACCGCGTTCGGTATAAATTATTTTACGGTCGAGTATAATCGCCCATGGAAAATGTAAATAAAGTTTGAAGTCACCTTGTGGCTCATTATATTGT